GGCCTTTAGTCCCAGCACTTGGGAGGCAGAGGCAGGCAGATCTCTATGAGTTCAAGGCCAGCCTGGTCTACATAGGGAGTTCCAAGCCAGCTGGGACTACAGGGAGAGCCTGTCTCAAAAGGACAAAAAAAAAAAAAATCGTGAGTTCTTTGTGCTTGCATGACAAGTACATTACCAAGGAAGCTATCTCCCTAGCCCTGAAATATTTCAATAGGTCAAAAATGGCAGAAAAACCATTTCATATGCTTTGACTTAACAGAGTCATAAACACCAAAAGGACATACAGATTATGGTACACAGTGAATTTCCTATTTCAGACGAACTAGAGCTAGGAAAAATTAAGTATATTAGTATTTAGCCAGTAAGCTTGTTTTTAAGATTATAAAACCCACAGATTAATTGTCCACATGCAACAATAAGATTAAGATACACAGGAGGTTAAACATTACTTTCCAAATTGCTAATTAGCCAGAAATGCTTTTTAAGTTTCTATAAAGACCCTTAATCAAGAGATTTTATAGCAGAAATGTATTACTAGTCCATTTTCTGTAATAAAACTAAGGAGAAGATCTTTATGTATTAAAAAATCTTGATTGAGCCAAGCGTGGTGACACACGCCTTTAATGCCAGCACTTGGGAGGCAGAGGCAGGTGGATCTCTGTGAGTTCAAGGCCAGCCTGGTCTACATAGCAAGTTCCAGGTCAGCTGGGGCTATAGGGAGACCCTGTCTCAAAAAAGGCCCCCCTCCCAAAAAAAAATCTTGATTGGGGGTTAGAGAGATGGCTCAGCAGTTAACAATACTGGTTGTTCTTGCAGAAGACCCGGGTTTGAATCCCACATGGCAGCTAACAACTGTCCATAACTCCAGTTCCAGGGGATCCAACAGCTTCTTCTGTCCCTCTGCAGGCATTGCACGACACAGGTGCACTTACCTACATGCAGGCAATACACGCATACACATAAAAAAATAATAGTAACTCAGGCAGGAGATGGCTCAGCAGGTAAAGGTGTTTATGGCTATGTCTGACGATCTGAGCTGAACCCTCAAGACCCACAGGGTAGAAAGTGAAAACCAACCCCTATAAGTTGTCTTCTCACCTCCACGTATGTGCTGTGACATATATGTATATATGTGCATGCACACACACAAAGAAACAGAAGCCTTTACCTCTTCTTCTGGCTCATTTACTTCACTTTCATTTCCAGATTGTTCTTCTGTTTCAGCTCCTCCTTCTTCTTCTTCTTCATCCTCCTCAAGATTTTCCCCTTCTGTCATAGAATCTTTGGACTCTTTGTCATTTACTAGG